ATACTTTATTTGAGAATTCTTCTCTTGCTTTACAGGATCTAACTGTATTGGCTACATTGACTAATTTCATCAATGTACATTTATCAAGTATCCAGAGAAGATAAGAAAAACACCAGCTGCAATATGAAAACACCCTACCAAGCTAATCTTACTTGGCTTATGAAACAGTCACTTATGGTATAAAACAAAAATCAGCAAATATTACTTAGACAGAAATTGAGAAAAGTAATTAGATGCAGGAAAAAGGTTTAAATATTAGTAATCAGAGTTCTTAACATAGCAAGGCAATACTTAAAGTAATATAAAATTATAATTATTCAGAAGTGACTACTATCTTCCACCTAGAATCCTCTGCATGTAAGTGAGAGATTTTTTTAAGGCACATTGCAAGGGGGTCTTACAAGCAAGAAAGCTGATGAAACATTGTTCATTACATATCCTTCTGGGAATTCATAACAACTTTAACATGTTATAGGTTCTGCATAATCCTTCAGTAAAAATATTTGTATAAATTTGTTTAACCTAGAATTTCCCAAACTCATTTGAAGCTAGTACTAATACTCTGTAGGAAAAGAGCCCTCCTCCTTCAGTTTGTACTTGGTGAGTTAGGATTGCACAAAGAAATAGAGCCAATAGAATGTGTGGATATATAGAGCCAATAGAATGTGTGGATATATAGAGCCAATAGAATGTGTGTATTTTAATAGGATATTTTATATATATAATATGTATCCTATTTTATATATAAAGCAATTTACTATCAGGAATTGGTTTATGTGACTGGGAAGACTGGCAAGTCCAAAAAAAGCCAACGTTTTAGCTTGAGTCTGAATGTTAGCAAACTACTGCAAAACCAGGAAATAGCCAATGTCCCACTTCAAAGGCCTATTGAGAACTCTCTTTTAATAAGAGGAGGGTCAACCTTTCAATTCTTTTTAGGCCTTCAGCTAATTCACAATATGGAGGTCAGACAATGTGCTTTAGTCTACCAATTTAAATGTTGATCCCATTTAAAAAACACCCTCAGGGCAACACATCAAATAATGTCTGACCAACTATCTGGTCACCCTGTGGCCCTGACAAGTTGATACATAAAATTACCCATCACACTTGGTCTGATCACAGTTTTGAGATCAGCTTGGCTGGTGGAGGCACAGCGG